GGGGGGCTACTTCAAAGAGTCTCTGAGTTGTTTTATTTACTGCAGTCTCAGTACTCTGACTGAAGTTAATATGTGTGAAGGACCGTAAAGACTGAATAATTTAACTCAATTACTGCAATAGGGGACAACAATTCTAACAAATGTTAAAATTTCATAAATTAAAAAAAGATAATAAGTATTAATTTATCCCTATTTTAACCGAGTTTTAATAATAAAAAAGTAAAAAGTATACAGTCGAGTGCAGTACAGCTGTGCAGTTTACATCTAGTGTATTATAAAAAATGTAAGTAAATAAATGTTCATACTCCAACAAAGAAATCTTAGATTCCAAAATGGATTTATAACTTTTAAAGATTTAAATCATTTTGAAAAGTTGACCGAGCCTTCTAATATTTTAGATGCTTTAAACTCAAATCTAACCTGTTAACAGGATTTAAAAATACCAGATAGTAAGTAGGGATTCATGAACATGGACCAGAGATACCAGATAGACAATAGAGATTCATGAGCATTAAGCAGAGATAACAAATAGAAAATAGGGATTCATGAACATGGAGCAGAGATACCAGATAGAAAATAGAGATTCAAGAGCATGGAGCAGAGATAACAGATAAAAAATAGGGATTCATGAACATGGAGCAGAGATACCAAATAGAAAATAGAGATTCAAGAGCATGGAGCAGAGATAACGGATAGAAAATAGGGATTCATGAACATGGAGCATAGATAACAGATCAAAAATAGGGATTAATTCAGTGAAAGGAAATGAAAAATGCATTCAAATTCCCGAACTCTAATCAAGAATTGGAAAGAGAACTTTTTTGGCTTCACTAATAATAGATTTACTCGTAACACTAAAATAAACTAAATAAATTAAATTATATCACTTTATTTACCTGATGATAATGAATTGCTCTGGCAAAGTCTCCAAGAAGATAATGAACATTTCCTAGGTTACCACACGCTCTACCTTGGGCAGCACGATCCTACAGATGTATGTGGTAATATAGATGCGGTAAAGTAAGTAGATATGTTAAACATAAATGTGGCTAACTTTTATGTGGTAAACATAATGATAGATGTGATAAAACGTGATGTGGTAATAATAGAATTAGATGTGCTGAATATAAATATGTGAAACATAGATGTGGAGAACATGGATGTAGTAAACATGGATGTGGTAAATATTGATTTGGTAAACAAAACAAAGATGTGGTACTTAATGGCACTAGGGTAAACACGGATGTGACTTATATTTGTGGTAAACAGAGATGTGATGAAAACAAATGATGTTTTGATTCTCAATGATTAAATGCATGTATGGTCACTCTCTGGATGAATGGATAAAAAATGCATGAATGGATGAATGAATGACTGAATAAACCTGTATCTCGACCATGAGCACCATGTTCTCCTCGTAGTACTCCACCGCCTTCTCGAACAAGGATTTCACCTCCTCAGGGAATTCACCTGGATCCTGGTGTCCCAGTCGACCCATATGCTTTCCTAGAACAGATATTCACTGTATACCCCGGGACAGAAACACATTTTATACCCGGGACATGTAAACAATTTTTACCCCAGGTCAGATCAACACTTTTCCCCCAGGATCCTATGGTCTCAGTTATGCACACTGCACTGGGTGCACTAGACGGGCTGGTACTTTGGTTTAGTAATATTCCACTTTACAGGTAAATCCTTGTATTGGTTCGGATCATGCAATTATGGGACCCATATGGCTTTATACCCAAAAAAGCAGTTTTGCCCCTTTATTCTAATGAGTACAATTACAACAAGTACAAGAACAAAAAGTACCACAAGTACAAGAACAAAAAGTACCACAAGTACAAGAGCAAAAAGTACAAGTACAAGTACATCAAGCACAAGTAAAAATAGTACAAGTAAAACACGTAAAAGTACAAGTACAAGTACAAGTAAAAAAAACACAAAAGTACAACTTTACCTTTAGCATGATATACATTTCCTAAATTATACAGAGCTCTACCCTCTCCTACTCTATCCTTGTGTTCCCTAGGCCAACCAACCAATAGCTTGCAGACCATACAAGGCCCGGCGGAGGGGTATTTTTTAGAAATCATTTTACAAATCTGTATTTTAGTAGGACTTCTAGGGCCTTTATCATGAGTGGGAGGGGGGGAGCAATGTTAAGGGCTAAACTCAGCCTGAACAAACCATGGAAAATTCATGAAGAATTGCTGGTGGAAAAAAAAATGTTGCGGCATTGTAAAGTTGTGGCTTAATCGTCCCAGGAAACAGAAATGGAATGGAGGATGAAATTAATGTTGCTCATAGACGCCTTTCACCACTCAATCTCATTTTTAAAAAGATAATTAATTATATTTTTGTTAATTTATTATTAATTTACTTGACATCTCAAGTTAATTGACAACAAATATTTAAAAACCATTTTCTCAATGTCAGGGGCGTGTTCAGGAATTTGTTCAATGGGACTTACTTATTTTTTTCTTTCTGCCCCCCTAAATGAAAACGCCTCTGCTCATTGTATACTTCATTTCGTGCATGAATTATTTATATATTTTTTACTTTTATATCAAATGCAGTGTCATGCAAAGAATAAAAGGCTCTAGAACACTTTATGCAGTTTTTTCATCAAATACAAGAGAATAAATATAAATTTATTTAAGAAACTCCATCACCATGTTGCAGATAATATAAGCAATGTTCATAAACAATTTTCATTTCTAATTATTTAACTCCTATTATTTTTTATAAATAAAAAAATTTATTCTGGGAATGCATTTTTTAAAATTATATGAACAAAACAATTCCATTTTACATCCCCTGTCAATTGTATAAATTGGCCTTGAGGCTGATTCCTGTTACGAAAGGTAACAATTAAAAGTAAGAACATAAAAAACTCAGAATGTGGGTAAATTATATTTAACGTGGTGATACAAAAGAGGTAAGATGGAGGGGGGAGGGGAAAAAAAGACCCCAGTCATATGGTGGTAAGATGGGAGGAAAACTGGAGGGAGAAGGGGGGAAAGGGTAATGTAAGATGGAGGGGGGAGGGGTAAAAGAGACCCCAGTCATATAGTGGTAAGATGGGAGAAAAACTGGAGGGAGAAGGGGGGAAAGGGTAATGTAAGATGGGAGGAAAACTGGAGGGAGAAGGGGGGAAAGGGTAATGTAAGATGGTTGGCTGCCTGCAGATCTCCAGGTGTCGTCTGCAACAAATAACTGCTTCCTCGAATTTTCCTATAATGAGATCTTTTTGTTTCCGTTTCCATTCTTGGTTCTTCTAAAAGAAAGGGGGGGGGGGAAAGGAGGGGTAAGAACTTTTTTAAACGCCGAAAAAAATGTCATAAATGTTCTTTCTTACTCGTTTAACGTTAACCTTGTATTGTTTGAGCTGTGTTTTGATCGATAATAAGACAACTCCATTTTCCTAAATTCAATTTTTAGGAGACAAAACTTTTGAAATAAATTAATTAACTTAATGATCAAGTATATAGTCGACGCTCGTTTGAATTATTAAATTCTAGATTTATATTGTTTAGAAGGGGTGACGTTTGTTTTGAATAATGTCCGAAAAAACTAATTTGGAAAAATTTGAAACTTTCTGTATTCGCCAAATATTATGTATATAATAAAATTTTCTGACGAAACGTACTAAAAATGGGCAACCAGAGCGAGGGATATTAAATGTTAATTAAAATAATTAAAATTCAAAATCCAGGGTTGCATTCAATTTTTAGATAGAAAAACGAAAAAGCATCTTGATCTTCTTTAAAAGTTTAAAAGCTGCAGTAATTAGTTCTAAGAGTAACAATTACTCTTTAAGGAAATTAAAGAAAAGGCAAAGATTACGGATCATTTAGCTATTTCTTGGTTTTCACTATTTAATATTTTTTTTAAAAAAGTGCTCTCACCGATAACTTTGAGCGTGTTTCCTAGGTTCCCAGATGCTTTAGCTTCGCCCAATCTACGAATTAGAAAAATCTAAATAATCCTTTTTTCATTTTTTTTTCGTTAATCGGTTCAACCTCCAGCAACTAGAAAGTTAGTTCAACTAATTTGAACCGATTCAAATCTGTTTCATTCAAAAGTTTTGGTTTATGTTCTTTTTCAATTTTTTAATACAAAAAATGTAAATTGTTACAATTTTTGTACTTGCATCTTTGTCACGTTCAAATTATTTATAACTAGTTTTTTGGTTTGCAGTGCAAATTTTTTTTTTTTTTTGGAGATATATACATACAAACAGTTTGTGCATTAGTCTTGTCATTGTGGTTATTTCTTCGACAAGGCATGCAGATATTAAAAATGCGATTTTTTTTCCTATAAAACGCGTCTTTTTTAAAAAGAAAATCTGGAAAACAAAGTGCACAACAGTTTTTATTTGAATGTCCTCATTCTTTCTGTTTTTTTCTTTTAGCCTATTTCCTACCTGTCCCCCATGGTTCTGGCGAGCGTGAGATCATGTTTATGGTACTGCATTGCGCGTACATAATCTCCCAGGTAAAAGTACGCATTCCCTAGCTGACTGTAGATGGCGCTGAGTGTACGGAAATCATCTGTACCGGACTGTAGTGCCGCCTCAAAGAATGCCACACCGTCACGGCATTTACCGGATTTACAGAGCTTCTCTCCCTCGAGGGCCAACTCCAGGCACGTGTCATTATCCCCCTCACTCATCTGGAAAGTACCTTACAGTACAAATCTACACTAAGTAAAGGTAAACTTCATATATCTCAAGGTATCATTTTGATGTACTGAACAATTCAGTACAATACAATTGTATTTCTCTGTTTAGGAGTTCAAGGATGCAATGCAATGTGCAGTAAAGTACACTAAACAATAGTACAGTAAGTAAAGAATATAAAGAATGGTCCTAGCATAAAGTACATTAGGGAAAATCCACAACATTAAACTATTGTTCAGAGTAAACTTTTAGTTAAAGTTAAGTATAGTAAAAAATAAACATTAGTAGAGTAGAACAAATAAAGTACGCTTTAGTACACAATAGCCGAGTATAGTAAAGTACACAATAGTCGAATATAGTAAAGTACACAATAGTCGAGTATAGTAAAGTAATATAAAGAATGGTCCTAGCATAAAGTACATTAGGGAAAATCCACAACATTAAACTATTGTTCAGAGTAAACTTTTAGTTAAAGTTAAGTATAGTAAAAAATAAACATTAGTAGAGTAGAACAAATAAAGTACGCTTTAGTACACAATAGCCGAGTATAGTAAAGTACACAATAGTCGAGTATAGTAAAGTACACAATAGTCGAGTAGAAAAAGTAACGTACACAGCATAAATCCCACTAAATCACACTAGATAAAGATATAGAATATGCTATAAGTAATTGTTTATATTTTATCAATAATGTTAGGTAAAAAATTACCTTCTTTTTACTGGATATAACTCCCAACAAAGCAATATTGCTCTAATATCAGTCTCACTGTAAAATATAGCATATATTTATGCTTCAAAAGTCCATTAATATCAACACTAAATCTTTTTTAATAAAATCTAGATTTATTTAAAAAGAAAGTCCAGAAATTTTAAATAAAATATTTAGAAATTCCGATTAACCGACCTTAAATACAGCGTTTCCCTCAAAATATAATAATTTCTGAACAAGTACAGAATTTGTCAAATAAATTGCGGTATTCTTTAACAACTATCATGAAATACCCCTAGTTATGCAGTTGTCTACTATTTTGTTCTTTCAAAATTAGCAACGAAGATTTTTGTTCCCATTTCAATAGGTTTTTGATAAAACTAAAAATCTTGAAGGTTTCATGGGTACCGTTGTGAATCGGGCAATGCCATCTCTGCATCACTTGAAAAGTTAAAGTTACGCTTACAGTCCTTTTAATTAGCTATGAAGATCGAAAGCTAACTTCAAGCCATTTCTCAATCATCATGCTTAGTTGGTCAAACCGTAAAACAAAAACAAACAAAAATTTCGCGGATTTCTAAAAAAATTCGTGGATTTTAAAAATTTTCAAAAATCGAAATTTGTTTGAGGCATATTTTTGTAAATTCGATCATCCATAAACGCGAGGACCCACAAAAAATTTGGGCCCGATCGTTTCAGCCATTTTGAAGTTCATTGGATACAAACGACAAACAAACAAACAAACAGATAAACTGCAAGCAAAGTATATATATAGATAAAGGAACTAACAAAGTTAATAGAAAATAGCAAAAACAGATCTGAATGAATAAAATAACAAATAAAAAACAGATTTGGTTGATAAGAGAAAAATAAATTAGAAGAATATCAAAAAGAAAAAGTAATTAACTCGGGATCAAGCTTTGATCTCAATCTTTTGAAGAACTATGGACATGATTCTTTTGATATCCCGTTGTAATCGTACCCTGCAGGGATTAAGCAATGTATCTTAAATTGGATATCGGGATCAAACTTTCAAGATTAACAATACTCCATAGAAAAGTTCCGACCTCTGGTAGCAATTAGATGAAAAAATAAATTGTTGTTAAAATAACACAAGGCTGGACAAGTTTTTTCCTGTAATTATCTTAATATTATTATTCAGAAAATTTTTATCAAATAAGGATGAATCGAGGAAGGATGAGGATGAGAATAAGGATTAACTGACACCTGAGAAGGATGCGGATGATTTGAAATAACTCCGTGAGAAGGATGAGGATATGGATTAACTAACTATATGAGAAGGATGAGGATGAGAATGAACTAACTACCTGATAAGGATGAGGATGAAGATGAACTGATCAAGGTACCGGGAAGTATAGAGACTGGAGGCCGGATTGTATATTATCTCTCACTGCTCTGCAAACCAAGAGAAGAAAAACATTTTTCTAAATATTCATCGACATGAAAATAAAAAACAATCAATCAAGATTTTCTAAAAATTAACAATTAAAATCTTTAAAAATTTGTATTTTGAGCGGTTAAAGGGTTGAAAAATAGCAACAAAATCAAAATTTAAAAGACAGTTCTAATTTTTTTAACGTTATTTCGCCACATTATACTTACGTAGTGTTTTCGTAGTAGTACATGCTACAGTCGATCTACATTCTACAGTTACCGATCCAATTTCAAATCAAATAGTTCAAAGGCTTCATAAGCAATCAAAATTAAGTTTTGTGGGTTTAATGATGAATTCGCGTATTTCATTGACACCCCCATTAATTTGCAATGCTACTTTTTTTCAACATTAATGGGAATCTCGCAGTTTAGCCACAGTATATTAACCAAAAAAGTCCATTTTTCTGTTAATTGATAATAAACAAAATTCGTAGATAATTTTGAAATAACAAATGTGAACTAAATATAAAAAATATAATAAAATATATCGAAATGATTTTATGATTAAGTGACTTTTGGGTTTTTATTTTCATTCGTTAAACCCTCACTTAAAGAATCATTTTTGAAACGTTTTATTGAATAAGTATTTTTTAAAAGCTTTTTGATTTTATTTTACTACTAATAAAAATATTTCCTAAAATAATAGAAACAGGGAACAAATTTTAATGACAATAAAAGATAAATAAAAAATACTACAAAAAATTCAAAACTGCAGGGGGGGGGGGTTAAACAATGATACATTAACAAATAGAATTAAGGATGGATTCATTAACTAGCTAATCAGATAATTAAGAACAAAGAATATAAAAAAATAAGTTAAGAAAAGAAATCATTTCCATTTTTTACCACGACGGAAGCTAAAATAAAAATTCATAAATAGAAAAATTAAATTAGCGAGTTTTAAGCGTCGCGTCGTGAAATGCATTTCCATTGGAGATTATATTTTAAAAAGCAATTTCGGGTTTTCTACCACCAGAGACAGTCCTGGGACTTTAGAACTCAAAATTTACTGAAAAAAGGATGTATACAAGAAGAAATGAAGGGTGTGTACTGTTTGTATAGTGAACAGTAAGGAATGAAGGGTGTGCACAGTGTAGTGTACAATAAGGAATGAAGGGTGTGCACGGTGTAGTGTACAGCAAGGAATGAAGGGAGTGTACTGTGTAGTGTACAAAAAAGAAATGAAGGGTGTGTACTGTGTAGTGTACAGAAAGGAATGAAGGGTGTGCACGGTGTAGTGTACAGTAAGGAATGAAGGGTGTGTACTGTGTAGTGTACAGAAAGGAATAAAGGGTGTACTGTGTAGTGAACAGTAAGGAATGAAGGGTGTGTACGGTGTAGTGAACAGTAAGGAATGAAGGGTGTGTACGGTGTAGTGAACAGTAAGGAATGAAAGGTGTGTACTGTGTAGTGTATAGTAAGAAATGAAGGGTGTACAGTGTAGTGTACAGTAAGGAATGAAGGGCGTACGATGTAGTGTACAGTAAGGAATGAAGGGTTTAATGTGTAGTTTACAGTAAGGACTGGAGGTTGCACTGTGTAGTGTACAGTAAGAAATGGAGGGTGTGTACAGTGAAGTGTACAGTAAGGAATGAAGGATGTACCGTGTAATGTACAGTAGGGAATAAAATGTAGTGTACAGTAAGGAATGAAGAGTGTGCGATGTTGTCACAGTAACAAATGAAGAGTGTAAACAATGAAGTGTGCAGTAAGGAATAAACGGTGTACGATGCAATGCACTGTAAGGAATTAAAAATGTACCGTGTATTGTAGAGTAAGGAATTAAGGGTGTGCGCTGTAGTGTACAGTTAGGACTGAAGGGTGTGCGGTGTAGTGTAAAGTAAGGACTGAAGGGTGTTCGGGGTAGTGTACAGAAAGGACTGAAGGATGTACGATTCAGTGTACAGTAAGGAATGAAGGATGTACGGTATAGTGTACAGTAAGAACTGAAGGATGTGCGGTGTTGTGTGGAGTAAGGACTGAAAGGTGTACGGTGTATTGTACAGCAAGGAATGAAGGGTGTACAGTGTAGTGTACAGTAAGGAATGAAGGATTATGGTGTAGTTCTGAGTAAGGAATAAAAGGTGTACGGTGTAGTGTACAGAAATGACTGAACGGTGTACTGTGTAGTATACAGTAAGGAACGAAGATGGCAACTATTGCAAGTAAAATATAACACTATTTAAGTTTCACTAAATAATCCACCATAAAATTTGACCAAGCAACATATGGTGCAAATATAGACTACACACATACATATATATAATATTATATTTATATTATATTATACATATAGCACAGTTTAGATATTCATAGAGGTTCAGTGTACTGAGTAGTGAGTACACTAGGCAAGCTGGGAAAAACTGTACAAAACTGTAAGTGTACGCATTTAAAAAACCAAGTTAAATTTTCCAGTGCTTCCTTTGTTTACTTTCTTATTTTTTGTTTACATTTTAGGGGGAAAATATCTGTACTGTATGGACCCCACTTCCTCTTGGAATCGAGGTTCCGTGAGATGAGTTGGCTAAGTGTCTATCTTTGTCTTTGATATATATTCTACTATAATATTATATATATATAAATATATAGGTAACCAACATAAACTTAAGGTTCTGAGGTGTACATTATAAACCAATTTCAAGCCATAAACAGAGTCTAACTTTTTAAATATATATTATATAGTGCTTAAAGGGACTGTGACCTGCCATTTATGAGGTGGTTTTTACGAATTAGAACTGAACCTTTAAACCCTTTAATGAAACGAAGAGGGAGCTTTTATAGTTTTATATCTTAACAAATATTGAACTTTGACATTTCTTTTTTTTCTGTTGCATAAATCCCCAAATCAGAGCAAACAAGATTGAATTATATCAATTTTAATCTAGGTTATAAATGAAATCTCATTTATCATTTCAGAAACAGGATTAAGGGTTATTAATGTGTATGGACATGCCACTCAATCAATGGAGGTTCACTTGAAATTACGTCTACAGACCTAAATAAAACATATTTACATGTCCCGAACTTGTTTTTTATTGTTTTAAGAAAAAAGAAAAATGTCGGAAATTTTACTGTAATTAAAACTTTGTTTTAACATTTTCGAGTTGTAGATCCAGATCCATGTTTTTTTTTAATGCGGATCCCTTTTCATAAGTGCGGATCCAGGATCCGGATCCGCATCAAAATGATAAAATTAAATTTCCTACCAATAGTTTCTGAAGGATAAATGCGCATCACGTATGTCACTTTACTGAGAAAACAAAATTGAAAATAGCTTATTTCCAAAGAGAATATGATGATCTCTCATGCATCCTTGATCAGACAAAGCTTTTAAGATAAGTGCTGTGAATTGAACATGCCATTTTAGAAACGAAAAGGCATTTGAACTTATGTCTACAGTCCATTTAAACTCAATTATAACTCAAGAAAAAGAGTACTTACCAATATTTATTGGCATACATACATTGAACAAATAATATACATATTTCCCAATCTTTATTTTATCTGTACAATATATAATATGAAGTATAGATATAAAATAAAGATACAAATAATTAAATAAAATGGTCCCACATCAATCCGAAGAGAGATTTGGGTAGAGCCAGTCTCACCAGACTATTTCCAAAGAAAAAAGCGGGGAATCACTTGTGGCTAATCGCGAGGATTAAAATGTGGACCACCAGGCACAGAACAAGCTCAATGGCGGTCTGCAACGAACCCACTGCACTGCACTTAACAGATTCATAAGGGTCCTGTCGTTACCCCTATGGTTTGTTTTGAATATTTAAATACAATATATTGAACATAAGTCATTTAGCTCAAATGGCATCTTTGTGGCCAAGCCCTTTAGATGCTGATAACCAAGCATCCAAGAGTATTGCCATTATTCTCCCCCCTTTTCAACAGTTTCAATTTTGAACCCCCATCCTCTCCAATGGCATAAGCTCTGCAAAGCACCAGACCAGTACTTTGCGGGACCTGCAAGATGAAATACAATGAATACAATGGCGACAGAACAGTTGAGAAATTTAGTACTTTGGGCTGAAGAATCAGCAGACAGGATTACAGAGAAATCTGTAAAAATAAAAGAGGGTTACAATGATTGATGTTGCAAACCATAGAAGATGGAAAACTGTAAAAGTTGTTCAGACTTACAAACACAACTCAGACCAGTTTAAAAGAGGAACTGCGAGCCAGATTCCGCCTAGATCTGTATTAGAAGCTCCTTATATATAAAGTAGTGATCGCTGTTTGTCAGATAATAACTCTGGAACACTTTTACTGATTTTCCTCAAATTTTGATGAAGAGAACTTCATAGTATCAAGAAAATATTCTTAGTTTCGGGATTTTAGTTTTTAGTTAAAAAGTTTTTGAATTAGATAAAACTTCCAGGCAAAACTGGGTTTACAATATAGTAGATTAAAAATGAGAAGAAAAATGTTGTTTTGAGTTTAACTGAAAAGAGAAATAGGTATTAAACAGTTTAGAACGACTATTTCAGATAAATATGCCCAAGGATTGCTAAATCTACATCAAGGGGTTGTGCATCAGACTGAGTTTTAACAATCAGCTACGCATAGCAGTGTAGATTTTCGTCCAATAATAAGATTTAGGATATAAAAACCCAATAAAAGTTAAACTCCTTTCATATACTGTTCAAATTGACGGATCAGGCGTAACAATTCAATGATTTCATAGAAAGGAAAAATAATTTTTTTTAATGCCACCCGAAGACCAGTGAAGAAAAAAATCCTGTTCTTTGCCAATTTATCCTTGATCACCAACCCCATTCTGCTTATCTCATCACCCATATCAGCACACTCTAACAGCTGAGATTAATTGAACCAGATTAGTTTCTGACCAAATTAAACTGTTAATCACCCTATTGGCTTTCAGTACTGATAACCTTCTTTCCTCCCTTGCCACCCCCCTTTTCCAGTCCTGGAGGAGTTTAAGTTCCTTATTCTTTCGTGGTTTACACTTACAATTCTATTGAAGTGTAGCCCAGGTTGATTTTAATCAAGATATCACCCTGAGCTAAATATCCTTGAGCTACTCCGACTTAATCCTACTCAGAAGGAAGCCGATGCTTAGGGAACACAACTCCTCCTCCATGTTCCTCTCGTAAGGCTCAGTTAATGATATATATACCAGCTGAACTTTTAGTGAAATGAACCTTTGAACCTTTGAACCTAAAATCTTAAACCTTACAGTCTCACATTATTTATTCTGACGAAGAATTATGTTAGGATTAAACTGAACCTCTTTGCTACTCAATAGCCTTGCATCTACCACACATTTTGGAGCACCTGTGTTCTGGTTGATGTGCTAGACGGATCTCACCTAGAACCTGTTGAGCTCTTCCTGGATCATATTCTCCATAACAACCTTCTACCTCGCCCACTGGTGCAGCCATCTGTTATTAAAAAGGTGAATAACATGATGATAACTTGAGTTATATGATAAACTTGCCCTAATATTAACCTTATTTAGTTCAAGTTTGTGTGGTCAATGAACTCCTTTAAGACCTCCACCTAGCAGCTGACCTTGTATTGAACCTTATTCATTATCTGTAATGAAATGAAATGAAAGATAGATCGTGGAAGACCCCCAACGTGGGATCCCCAGACCGACTCCGAGAAGGGGACTCAGTCAGGTGCTGAATCCCCGACCGATTCAATCTGGCACCCTAATCTCATTCCCCCTACTCCAAGGAAATTTAATTAAGGCAGGTACAAACCAGACGCTGTCTAGCCATACATCCTGATGGCGAAAGTGTATACTCCATAGACCATAACCTCTACTGGACAGACTGATCTTAGGCTCAACCTGCCGATCATTGATACATACTAATTTGATTTATATGTGTCCATGTGATCCATGTGAACAAGCTGTTACTTATGTAAAGGATTTAAAGAAGCGCTAAAAGAGCCGATATTCAAATTTACCTTTTTAGTCTTGTCCTGGATTCTCATGCCTGACTGCAGAGCAAGTGATCCTCCCTCAAGATAAACTCGCAAAGCATTGAGATCTATCCTACGACTACAACTCCCTGGCCAGTTCAACTTTGTAAGCGTAGTTTTATTTTATCCTTTATGAACATAAATCATGGAAACGGCAAATGGCTTATTTTGTACAAATACTTTTATTATTGAAACATTTCTTATACAAAGATGTTATGCTAGTGGGAACTTATCATATTGTTTTCCTTTCAGTTCACGTCTATAGCTGTATGAATACACCTATCCTGAAAAACATGCTTGAAAAGACTGTTTATGCATTAAAGCTCTTGTAAGCCCCTGACAGGAACGGAATTATAAGCTTTTTCTATCTGAAAATGGATTGCCCCCCCCCCCTTTGGAGAAGATTTGTAAAAAACGATATACGATTTTTGGAACCCCCAGTATATAATTAGGGTTAGGTTATGTTTAAACACTTTCTAGGCCGAGCGCGGTATATTCCTCGAGAATGATTTTTGGACCCCCCCCCCCCCTCCCGGGTTCTTCTTGTAATAAAATAATTAAGAAATACAAATAAAAATTTTAGTCGGTCAAAAACATCATAATTTCATAAATAACATAAATATGAAACTTTAAAACAATCAAATAAACAGATCAAATCATATACCAACGGACTTAACCGCCAAATTGTCAAAAATGACTAACGTCGATTCTTTCTTAAACGTAATTCTTTTTTAAAAAAATCAACAAATCTAAAAAAGGTTTTGAATATTCACTCTAGGTTTAGATGAACAGCTTCTCTGTGACAAGAGTGACATGAATGCTAATATTTGAATAACTAAGCTTTCGCTATAACTCTGTTACGATTGAAAACAGAGAGTATACTCAGTATATTAAACTGCGTAGAACAAAAACCGGTTTTATATTTTCTACCTTAAATACAAAATAGAAATATTAAAAACTTTAACAAAATTTTAATAATTATAATAAAAGAATCTTTAATTTTAATATAACAGATTTTTTATATCAAAACATTAAAAACTCATTTTAAATCGAGGTTCCTGACAAAGGCGTAATTTTTGCTGAATTTGCGTAGAACCTTTGAAATGGACTGGCTTATAAAAGTTTTCCGTGCCTTGCCCATATTTTTCCCCATTGAAATTAGTCGACGTCGTTGATATTAGAGATAACAGAACAAGAGTGGCGAAAATTTGTTTTCTAATCAATATAATCCAAGTTTTTATTTTATTTTGTGTCTTCAATGTTTTGGTTTGTTTAAATATTAAAAATACTACGAGGCATGCCTTGCATCTCTTTACTTATATGTAAAGTAAACCTTGTGACCACTTAATATATAAAAACGTTAAAGATGAAAATAAGTCGTTATTTGTTTTTTATTGTTAGTTTCAACTGATCTTTTTGATTTTACCGTCCCGTATAGGGAGGATAAACAAATAGATTAGTTTTATAGGGTTGCACATGCGCAGTAGAATTGTTAAAAAAATTGATTTTACGTTCTGATTTGTGAAGGCTGGGCTAATCAGCTGTTCCAATATATACCAATATAAATTTATTTTGCATATTAAATTATTTAAAAACATCATTTATTTACGTGATTCTAAATAAATTTAAAAAAAAGTTGTTTAGTTAAGTTTTAATGATTTTGTAAATTGCTACATAAACATGAAAAGGAAAGACTAAGTAGTGGAATCAGTATTTCATTTTCAGATATTATCCACGAAATGCCAGATTTAGACGCCGAGGCCGGTGAAGGAGAGACGGCGGCCGGTGGCCGACGAAACCGATCAAACGGCCGCGGAAATGATCTTTCTCGACTTTCACAATCCGGAGACAGTCTTTATTTACTTCTTGACATTCCAAAAACTTCAACAGAACAGGTTTGAGCGTCATTTTTAAAGATTCTTTTAATTTTTGAGATATTGTTAAATTAAGCATAACCTTATATCTCCTAATGAGGGGACCAGGCCATGACGCAATCATGATAGATCAATTCAAAGGCCTAGGAGAAGGAGGGAAACGAATGTTTTTAGAAACACAAAGCATACAGAACAGCAATAGAACCAATCATACTATATGGCATAGAAGTTTTATATGAAAACTTCTCCTGCAACCTATCAAAAAAACTCACAGCACTTGAAATCACAGCAATGAAAACAGCTTATCGACTACCCAGACAAACATCACTCATAGACTGTCCTTAATATCCAAAGAAGAAGGCATTATAGGCAGAAATGAAAAAAGAGGAAATAACTTTGTAAAAAAAAAAAAAAAAATTAAATTCTCATCAGATATGGAGAAACCCTAAAATACTCGCAAGGAAGAAGAATCAGAGTAAAAAATAAACATACAGATAGATAGTAAAGCCAAAAAAAAACACCTGGAAAAGTAAACTCCACATACACCAACCACACATTTTCTTCTCGGACATATAAACACAAAACGAACAGGAAACAGAGGAATATGAAGAAATACCAACACTACAGAGGAGCATCTCCTTCAAAGAAGGACACAAAGGAAAATCTCCAGCAAGATTCCCAGAACAGAAGATAAGAGTGGTCAGATTCAAATGCAAGCCTGAATACTCTAGAAGAGAGTAACATGTATATCTAAAGTGCCTGCCTAATGGCACATAGAAATAAACTATTATCAATCAATCAATCAATGAGGGGAAACCCAATTGTGCTGTGTGAAAGAAAAGCATTGGAAATCTCATCTTTTTGTTTCTAATCATAAAATGTAGCGAAGGTTTTTGTAAATTATAACAAAACTAGTTTTCAAATTATGAATTGAACAGTTTTAGAGAATAGATATGTATCAGTTGAAACATTTGAGATTTAGATTTTTTTATTTAAAGGTTGAACTAAGGCTACGTTTATTCCATACTGTATTTCGTTTATTAAAAATGGTTAATTTAAACATAATCTTAATTTTTTAGAAAAATCCTCTCACCTTCTTTTCAATCCGGGACCGATTTTAATGAATTTGATCTAGATTGATGAAGTCGATTTAAAGCATTTATCATCTATAGGACATGGAAAAATTCTTAAAAGCCGATTCAAAACACATGGTTGAACCGTCTCCAGACCTGGCTCAAATTCATTAAATCCCGTTTCTGATTTTGATATGTGAATCTTTGTTTAGGAAATAAAGAAAAAGTATCGAAGATTAGCGTTGAAATACCACCCGGACAAAAACCCAGACAATGCAGAAGCGGAGGAGATGTTTAAAAAAATAAATCAGGCGGGACATTCCTTGTCAAGTCATTTCTTATTAAGTCATTTCTTGTCAAGTCATTACTTCCCAAGTCATTACTTCCCAAGTCATTTATTGTCAAGTCATTTATTGTCAAGTCATTTCTTGTCAAGTCATTCATTCAGAAGTCAATTATTGTCAATTCATTTATTTTCAAGTCATTTATTGTCAAGTCATTTATCCAAAGGCTAAAATTCTTCTATTGATTAAATCTATTTGATTGTGTTGAGGGGTGGCGTAATTTTTTAAAAGTGTACATTAACATCTTTGTTTTAATGTGACCCCTACATATTTCTGTTGAGTCGACAATGAATGATTACCTCAGGCTCACGCTGTTCTAATGGATGAGAAGAAGAGAAATATTTATGATAAATATGGTTCATTTGGTCTGTATATTGCTGACCAGGTTGGGGAGGATAATATTGGAATTATCAGCAGTTTAATGGTCTTCAACTCAATCTGGTTCAAGGTGAGCAATGAGCATATATTTTGAAAAAAAAAAACATTTTTTTCTCGTAAATCATAATAAGTAATTTATGAAAGGTCTCCCAATAACTTTTGTAAATCTTAAAAATAAACAAGTTTATTTTGATGTAGTTTTTTCAGAAAATAAAATTTGAGATTGAGTAAACAATGTCATCACATGAATTTTCGCAATTCTTAGTTTTCTTTTTAGCTAACAATTTTTCAAGGTTCCCCATTATATTTTTACATTTTTTACACTAAACTGTTCTATCAGTTAAAAGTTATGTTTTTCGATTAACTGAAAAAAATATATATTTTAATCTATATATAAATAAATATAGATAAACATGTTCACAATTTAAATAGAAGATGGGCGCGAAGCGCCCTAAAAGCCTCGTAACTTATAAATATATATAAAGTGAGACCCATAAAACTATGGAATATGAATACGACTTATTAAGGGAAATGGGTATGAATAAATTGCACAAATCTTGTATTTCATATTCATCTATATATACATTTGGCTTGTCTGTTTGTCTGTTTGTTTGTATCCAATAAACGTCAAAACGGCTGAACCGATCGGGCCCAAATTTTTGTGGGACCTAACGTGACCCCAGGGAAGGTTTGTGAATAATCAAAATTTTAAAAAGTTGTGTTTAAAAGTTTTTTATTTTTGAAAAATTTTGAAAATGCGCAAAAAAATATTATGAAATCCGCAAACTTTTTTGTTTTTTGTTTTATACTGTACAAAGAGAAGATGTTCAGAGATAAAGCCACAATTAAAAGTTGTAATAGAAGATGGGCGTGAAGCGCCCTAAAAGCCTAATTATTAATATTTTTCAACCAGGTCCTACTTTAACTTTTTGTGTACTTTGTGTGTTTCAAATCAGGGGTTTACTGTTTATTTTCTTGAAAAATAATTTTTCTTTCTCCCTCTCCCCTTTTGAAAATCAAGTTTTTTTAAGAATGTTATAAATGTTAGCGTGGATTTTTTTAAGGGTTTATTCGCTAAATTTGGGGAAAATAAATGATTTTTAAGGGAAAATCAAAGAAAATTTGGTTAAATTGTATAAAAAAAAATGAAAAAATTGAAGTTAGACATCAAATATCTAAATTTTCGTTTTTTCCTCAAATCATCAAAAGTAATTTCTGAACAATATACACATTACACACACCCCTATTTAAGTTGCACGTAGAAATGTATCTACAAAACTTTGCTTGTTTGTATCCAAAAAAAGTCAAAACGGCTTAACAGATAGGGCCCAAATTTGTTGTGGGGCTTCACGTGACCCCAGGGAAGGTTTATGGATAACGAATTTTCAAAAATTTGCCTCTGACAAAACTCGATTTGTGAAAATCTTGAAAATCCACGAAATATTTTTTAACCCTTTTTAATCTGACTTTACTGGCTGCCTGGGGGGGGGCGGTCAAATTTTCTAATTTTTTTTATATATTTGTGTATTCTAGTTGTTTTGTGGGTTCTGTTGTTTGGTAACAGGCTGCTATTGCTGTTGTTGCTTCCTCTGTTGTTGCAACTGCTGCTGTGGAAAATGCAAACCTGAGGAACACATCATTAGACCAAATCTCGATTTTCAATTAAAACCTTATTTTATGCATAAATTCGAACTTTGATCTTCATTTATTAATTTGATCCTCTTGATTTATTAGACGAAATATTTCATCTTGATTTTCATTACGAAATTCCTATCAGTAATCTTCTTGCTTCATTAATCTTCATTAACCCATAAACTTGATAATTAAATCCAATTCTATCTTAAATTCTGGTTTTCAAGATTTCATAATCCAACTTATACACTGAAATGGCGTACCAATCTTGATTTCAACAATCTTTTATAATTCGCTTTTACCCGTTTTCAATTATATATCTATATTCACGTTGTAAAGATAAACAAAGTTAAATCTGGACATCTGGATATTTCTTGCCAAGAATTTTCAACATGTGTCTCAAAATCGTTATTTATGAATTAAAACAAGTTTTAACCGGATCATTTGAGTTCTACAAGTTCACTTTTTTTATAAATACAAAAATTAATTCAAATATTAAAATTAGATTTTGTTTATTAAGTTTAACATTGCTGAAGACTTTTGTGTAATGAACCCCCCCCCCGCACTTTTTATGCATTGAGTATTGTGTGTCGAGTAGATGGATGAAGAGGATCTACCAGATGTAGCAGATCTAGGAGAAGAGGTAAACTATTGAACAAGTTAAAAATGTTCAAGTAGCGAGTAAAATCCGCAAAAATAAGAAACAATATGGCCAACTTCTGAGGCTAATAGCTGAAAGCATAAATATTGACATAATTTTACGTGAACATGTGCCATCAGTGATCTACAATATCATCCTATTGACTTGAATCTGTTACGGGTTACTGTTTTTATCTGGATTTTTAACAATAAATTGCTATTTAGAAATTAATGCGGAAATTTTATTTTACAATGTGAAATGAATTTTATTTTTTTAAGTCGCTTGTATTTCCAGGATGTAGTAGTAAGTCAACCTACAGCTACTGACCAGGCTCCGGAGTCTGGTGGAGATGAGAAGGTTGGAGCATTAGCAGCTGGAGGGTCTGGAGAGAGGAGTCCGTTAAAAGAATCTACTCCCCCACCGTCCTATTCGACGCTGGTCATGGAGGATGAAAAATGATTATGTTCGAAATCGAATATTTCTGAAAATCGAGAACACGGTTCACAGTGATTAGAAGTGATTTTCAGGGGCCTTTTTATATAACAATGAAACCAAACAGGAACCATGGACATTGGCGAAATTTAAGACTACGGTACACGCACAAGAGTACATTATGTATTATCTTACGAACAATTCAACAATAAACAAATTTTACTGTTTTACAATATACTTAAGGCAAATATTAACTGAAATATAACGGTATCGTTTACAGGTTTTTGCGGTTTTTCGCTTTGCTCCCAAATGTGATTTTGGCTTGATTATACCCACCTTCTTTAATTGATTTAGTCGGCATTGAACCTCTTATCAGGTGGATAAAAATACAGGGGTATATATTTTCTGGACTGCCACTCCTTTGAAGCATTGATCAGAAAATTTTGAATATTAAACTGTTAGAAATTCCAACTTTTACAAAATACACATCATACCCTAATTTTAAAGCTTATGTTTGCGATTTCGCAAGCATTTGCTTGCGTGTATTTTGTATTTTGAAGTAAGTCAACATGTCCTTTAACAAATCTATTTTATTTTAGAAAAATATATACTTCTGTACTTCTGTAAAATATGGCTCAGTAAAAAAGTGAATCGATATGATTAATTAATTCGTCAATTGTGAGAACAGTGTTTTCCAATTTCTTCTTGTAATCAATTTTTTTTAAATGTTCACATTCAAAAGATTATTGACGAGTAAAACCTCGGCAAAGTATTTGATTAAATAAACCGTTTATAAAGACACATTTCATAAAACACATTTCATAAAACACAGTTTTAAATCATATATAATTTCAGATTCTTGGTATTACAAGGAAGAAATAGGTATTTTTATTTTTTTTTTTGAGGGGCCAGAGGGCTTTATGTCTTGTTTTAGCATACCTACTTGATAGAACTTTAAAATGAACCAGAGTAGGTTATTGATAAATGTTTTGATTGGACCGAAGGGGACGCGTAATTTCAAGTTACGCTCCATGCAAAGATGTCGTCAATGCCCGATTCCCAACGATCCCATAAAAGATTAGCAGATCAAGTATAAATTATATATAATGTTAACAATCTTGAAATCTTATTTTTTCAACTGTGATGTGGGCACTTGGTTCTCTACAAAAGTGACACTAACTTATGCATTTCTGGTTTCTATAGCAGGAAAACAATCAAAATATATTCATTATAAGAATTGTGAGAAATTAACATTTTTAAACATTGAGAAAAGGATAATATCTTCCACATTACTGATCAGAGGAAGGTTTCAAGGGTACCGTTGTGAATTGGACATTTCTATCTTTGCATGGTGGGTAACTTGAAATTAGGCTTACAATCCCTTTTATTAATAGATGGATTAATTGACCCATAGTGATTTATTACTTGCCACTTGATTGATTGGTGGATTGTCTAGTTTATTATTTGATTGATTAATTGATTTTTAAATGTGCAGGACTAAGATGCCTTCTCAAAACACAATGCTGCTGGCCGACCCACAGGTAGAAAGCTTAGAAATTTAGGGGTTTTTATTTTACGAGAATAAAAAAGTCTGAAAGGGGATGGTGGAGATGGCACATTTGATGTAGGGGGGGGGGGGGCCTGCCTTCATTTTTGGTTCAAATCTTCCAATTTTTTGGCTGCACGCCTAATTAGTGTTCGAAATTCCTAAAAAAAAATCAAATTGAATTTTAATGACCTCTAACTGGGAAACAGTATAAAATGAAGGAACACATGGAGCAATCCCCTATACCCTTCTTTCTTCAGACCTCCTTTTCTTTCTCCTACCTGCTCCACAACTCAATGTCAAAGAACTATTTAAAAAGGCCTTAAAGTGTAAAACAAGAAACAAGAAGGGAGAAGAAAAAAAAATTGAACAGAAAAAATAGGATGGGAAATCTGTGGACAGTAGAGATGGGGGCTTCAAACAAGATGATCAAGAAAGAAGAAGAAAACTTTGAACAGGAAAATTAGATGGGGATTTGAGCTTTACACTTTCTAATTTTTTTTCACCGATAGCGAATAAAGACAAATACACAGGTCGGCAGACATCCCATCGTTCCCTTTATGTCCTACTCGGAAAAAAAATGGAAAATGTGTAGAACGCCCATCCCTGCCACCGAGAAAATTTCATTGAAAGTGCGTAGGAAAGCAGCAGCTGACGCCAGTAACATAACTCAAGCAAAATTTATAAACAAAACAAGGGGAGAGGGTAGCTGGCTTACTGCAGAAACATCCAAAAAATTCATTTACTTTTATTTTCAAAATCAGCCGAAGTATTATTGAATTATGGATGAGGAATGGACGATCAAGAAGAAAGAATGAAAAACAAGAAATATAGAAGTCTCTAAATGTTTCCATCTGATATATTGAAATTTAAAAATATTGTAAAATTTGATTAAAACAAATTATTAAAGTTAAAAAATATTAAGAATTATAAGAATATTTTTAAATGTATTGAACCACAGGGCGCGCGAGAAATGTATGTTTATGATTTATAAGGAGTAAGGACAACACTCTAAACACAACTATAACTAAAAGTTTATAAGTATGCGACCACCAAAATCATATGTACTATAAAGTTATTTATCTAACTACATTTTACTACATCAACAAAAGTTTATTAATTTTACCTTAAAATCCTCATTTAACTATACATAAGCTAAAAATCAGCTTAAAAAACGTCCCATAGAACCCAAAACCAGTGGTTAGGATCTGAATCTGATCAGATATGCGGATCCATCTGGATCATAGGTGTATAATATCTACCAAAACCTGTTAAAAATAAACATTTTGCTCTCCAACCACATATCTTAATTGTAGACTTAGGAGAAATTATCAAAAACTTCCTAATTTCGGAATCGTTTTAGCTTAAAAATAAGAAGTCAGATATTTGAAAATTTTTTATTTGTTAATAATCTGTAAATTGTGATGCCCTAGATCCGGATTAATTTTTTTCAGACTGAATCCAGAATCCGAATTTGCATTAAAATTAAATCCAAAGCACTCAAAACAATCGTTTCCTCTGCTATGGTCTTTTTATGCGCATTTTTTGTTCAGTTGTTCCTTCCTCATCAAATCTACATCTTTGCCCTGTAAGCTAAATACATAATTAATTACTGTGGTATTACAGGATGACGTTGAGTTGAGGAATCTGGCTGTTGTTGATCCTTTAGGAACATTTTCATTTAATTTTTATCTTGAAATAGTGATTCATGGATGTTTAATAGAAATTTTCTTGAATATTAAAGCCTTAAAGGAGATGCAGTAAAATTTATATAATCAAAGGTACTGTAAAATTAGTTTAAAGATTCCGTATTTATTACTTTAGTGAGCTATAAGCTATTCATCAAAGCATTCTTTAAATCTAATTTTAATTATTGACGTGGAAATCTTTGTTAATGTTAATTGTTGATCGTACTAATACATTACCAGGCGCAGTTTTTTAATGGGTCATTTAGAAAATCGTTCACACTCTGAGATTATGATTTTTTCTGGACTAATGAAAATATTGATGTGTAAACAGATCGGACCTTGAGCAAGGACACCATCTATACTGAGGAGACTGTGGAGACCAGTACTGGACCTGTTCTTGTCGCCTTCGCTGGGGACAGGTCAGTCGCCATTTTGTTTTTTAATATGGCTTCTTGCGGATATTTCCATATGGCGTTTTGCGGGGTTTTTATATTACGGTTTTGTTTTATTTTATAATCTTTTTTTGTCCAGAATATTGGAGAACATTGTAAATCAACCCCTTTTTTTGGTAAACTTGACTGGGGAAATCCTTTGAACCCTAATTGCGTTTATTGCTTACCAATTTTGGAAACAATATCAGTTGAAAACTCTGGAGAGAAAATTTTCAATATATTTGGAATCAATTTAAATTTATTTTCATCATTATATTTTTTTCATTAAAGATCTTATAGAAGATTTAGTTTTATGAACATACCTTATGTTGAATTTAGAACTAAACCTGCTCTGCTGACTTATCATGATCTTGGTCTTAACTACGTCTCAAACTTCCAGGTAAAGAATCTTCACCATCAGAAATGCTTCAGATCCGGATTTTCAAAAATATTTGAATCCACAAACCGGATCCAAGGAACAACATATCAGCAATTTCTTTTAAATAAACCAGAAGAATTATGTGAAGAAACTTTTTTCTCAAAGTTTATGCCAGTTAGCGATTAAATGAATTCAAAGCACTTTGTCGGCAACGGGCAGTTAGCTATTACGTTATTTATATTTAGCAAAGGCGACTTTTATTATAATGATTAAGTCACCTTGACCGAACTAAAATAAGAAACTCCAGTTTTAAAAACATAAACGTTCATTTTAGCATTCAAAAACTTAATGTACTAAAATAAGAAACTACAGCTTTCAAACGTAAAGGTTCATTTTCACATTCAAAAACTTAATACTAGCTAAACTAGCTAAAGGGCCCGGCATTGCTCCTGGAAAAAAAGAGAAAAAATTTGAGAAAAACATGTTAAACAACAACAAGAAAAAGCTGTTACAAGAATTATTAAAAATTTCTCTTTCACAAATCCAGTTCCTCTTAGAAAAAGGGAGTTTTTTAATGGCTAAAAAAGATCATTTTAAATTTTGATATTTTTAGGCATTTTTCAACTATCCTGAGATGAAAGAAATCTGTCAGTCATTCTGCGTTTTCCACGTCAATGCACCAGGTAAATGAATAGACAGGACAGAGCAATTTGAAAGTTTCCGCGACCTCGCAGCGGGGGGAGTTCTCTAACATTCTTAAATCTCACAAAATACTAAAAACTCTTAATCTTCGTCTTTTCATTTCATAAAAGGTCTTTACTGTTGAAAATTCATATCATATTAGATTTATTAGGTCTAAAGTAGAGCATATTTAATGTCAAGTAAGTGGTCGGTAGGCTTTGGTTGACAAAAAGAATTCGAGATTTGCTACAATATATCACTGAAGAGTATCGAACGATGCATTAAATATTCCTTATATTTAGGACAGGAAGAAGGAGCTCTCCTGTTCCCAGAGGAGTGTGAGTTCCCCACCATGGAACAGTTAGGAGAACAGGTATCTTTAACCCCACCCCCTTCCCTCTTGTTCCCAGAGGAGTATGAGTTCCTCACCATGGAACAGTTAGGAGAACAGGTATCTTTACCCCCTGTTCCCTGAGGGGTGAGAATGCCCCCTCCATGGAAAGGGTAAGAACTCCCCATTCCATATTTTGTTAGTCCAGTCCACCGCATCAATTTATCTATCTTCCTCGACTCTGACCTAATTTGACTTAATTTGACTTAATTTGACTTAATTTTTTAAGGTCTCCCGAACTGGGGCGGCTTTTAGATCACAAACCGTAGATTAGTTGATTTATTGAGTGGTTGATTGATTCATGTCAACTCTTCTTATTTTAGATCCAGGAAGTGTTGAATCATTTTAGCCTGGTTCGGTATATTGGTATTGGAGTTGGGTTGGGAGCTAACGTTCTGGTCAGGCATGCTCTTGGTTAGTATACAATTTTTTTGTTATGGAATTCTTATTTTTTATTCAATAATTAATCAACTTCTTCGTTTTCCTTCAGTTTTTTATCATTCCCTGGCTGATAAGATTTTTTATGTCAACATTAATTATGTTACAATTATAAAATAAACATAGTTCATTTTATGGGGGGGGGGGATAGGGTATTAAATCTGTTCCTTTTAAAGTATTTTCACATTAAATAAAAAAAAAACGAAAAAGGCCGTATGAAATATTCATTAACTGGATCTACATCAGAATGTGCATGATAGTGAAATGGATCTTTAAGACTTATGGAGACCAATTCTTTGAAATTTACAACCAGTTTTCTCGAAACCTATCGTGGATGTTTTATATAGACAAGTTAGAAAATTACCCAAGATTTGTCCCATTTCAAATAAAAAAGGTGTTCCACATCTTGATACATCACTAATTTATGAGCGTTATATATTGTGAGTTAGCCTGGATGGAGCCAGGATGTATCCATGTTGATGCGCTGCATCCTGAAGGGTTCCATGTCGGGTTCCCTTTTAGATCCTCATTACTTCTTTTTTCTGTTTATTACATTAATGTTCACCCTAAATACCGTAAACAATCCTTTAACCTTGTGTATTGTAGCCTACCCGGAGCGTGTTGACTGCCTCATGTTAATCAACACCCAGACCACTAAGGCTGGTTGGATGGAGTGGGGATATCAGAAAAGAAATGTCTCACATCTCAGGTATTGGGTCGAACTGGACCATTTGTTGGTTCCGAGGTTGGATCTTCAGTGTTGTGAATCTTGGGATCAAGCATTGATCTCTATCTTATACAGACTAACGGATTATTTAATTTCTCTTCGATATCCCATGATGGTCATACCCTTTAATTGAAAGATCAATCATTTATCCTCAAATTTAAATTGCCCACACTACATATCGAAATCAAACGTTTTAGATTAAGGATACAAAAGTTTCAATTTTCGGTCAATTAAAATCTAAGTTTTGTTTTTGTTTATGATTACTTCTCAAAAATCTGAAGTTTCACATTTCTGAAAACTGTATTCCTTTAAAGTTTGTTGTTATTTTATAAGTTTTATTTTTTATTTTGTCTCAGTTTTGATCAAGGATAAGAATCAAACTAAGAAAAAGTAAAATGAATGGACCAGGGTCCTCTCTTCAATTCTTAAATGATTATCTATATATCTAGAACTACTGGAGTTACCCAACCTGTTCTTGATTATCTACTCTGGCATCATCTTGGACAGGTACCAAACTACCTAATAGTACACAGTACACCACCATACTCTCATTTAGATGAACTTTACTTTCCCACTTGGGCCTTCTATAAGCCGGGTATTTTTTTCAAAGATAAACTTAAGATTTTTTTATCAAAAAGTCATTTTATTTTTTTCCAATAATTAAACGTACAATCAGATTTCTTCTTTAAATCGTATGTCGACATAATTGGAAAACTTGGGTAGGAACTGAGTCTGATTATGGTTGCCAGGGGTTAAGAAAAATTGTTGATGGGTAACTGGGTGTTATTATCATTATTATTATTACTATTACTAATGATATTATTATTATGATTATGATTACGATTACCATTACCATTATGATCATTATTATGATTGTGTTTGTGATGGTGATTGCGATTGCCATTGTGATTGTGATTGTGATTATTATGGTTATTATTATTATTTAGGATTATACTGAGAGATCACATGACCTAGTTAATGTTTACAAACATTACTTCGAAAAGGATGTTCAGGTATTTAAAGTGAATGTTCAGATTTTGATATTTGTTATTATTGTTTTTAATGGTACCCTTTGCTACAAGGCGACTACATAAATAAAGGATAGTCAAGGATTAAAGGGACTGTAAGCGTAATTTCAAGTGACCTTCTATGGCTATGTTCGATTTACAACTGTACCCTTAAAAGCTTTGTCAGATCAAGTACAAGCCAAGGGAAAACTGACAGAAACAAAAACTGAAAATCGACGGTATCTTCCACATCTTTTAATAGATAAAGGTTTTAATGATACCGTTGTAAATTGGGCATTGCTATCTTTGCACTTTAAATTGCGCTTACTGTCTCTTTAAGACTGTCAAATTACAAAACTACATATGGTCAATTAGAAACACTATTTTTTGTAATTGACGTATGGTATATTGTTCTGATTTTCGAATAGATCAAATTTAAGACGACATTTTAGGTCATTACGGAAAAATATGTGTGTTAGGACAGGGTGGTTTAGGATTAACTAATCCATTGTTTAAGGAATCAACCTTGCTAAACTAGTAAGTAAGGATTAACTAATCAATTGTTCAAGGATTAAATCTTGCTAGACTAGTAAGTAAGGATTAACTAATCAATTGTTCAGGGATTAAATATTGCTAAACTAGTAAGTAAGGATTAACTAATCAATTGTTCAGGGATTAAATATTGCTAGACTAGTAAGTAAGGATTAACTAATCAATTGTTCAGGGATTAAATATTGCTAAACTAGTAAGTAAGGCTTAACTAATCAATTGTTCAGGGATTAAATATTGCTAGGCTAGTAAGTAAGGATTAACTAATCAATTGTTCAGGGATTAAATATTGCTAGACTAGTAAGTAAGGATTAACTAATCAATTGTTCAGGGACTAAATATCGCTAAACTAGTAAGTATGGATTAACTAATCCATAATTAGGGAATCAATCTAGCTAAACTAGTAAGTAAGGATTAACTAATCAATTATTCAGGGATTAAATCTAGCTAAACTAGTAAGTAAGGATTATCTAATCCATTATTTAGATAATTTATCTTGCAAAACTAGTTAGTAGTGTTAAGATTGGGTCAGGGGCGTATTCAGCGCCCCCCCCCCCCTTGGGTCTGTGAAATCTATGGTTTTCATAGGGTTTTTGAGCCCCACCTTAAAGAAAAAAGTTACGGCGGAGATATCCTATTTGAAGGGGGCAGGAGGGGTCCCTGCCTTCATTGTTAGCTTTAATATTCCAATTTTTGGCTGCAGGCCTTATTTGAGTTCAAATTTTCTAACAAAAAACAAAATTGGACACTATTGACCACTGATGACCTCGACAAATAGAAATTATTTCAACTATGGCTTTATGCATATGATTAGAAAGCAAGGAACACAGGTAATACAGTAGAAGAAACGAACCTAGCGTCTGACTTTCTAATGACCTCTAACGAACTTTAATGACCTTCAAAATGAAAATTTTTTATTGGCTTTATGCATATTAAAGAGAAAGTGATTGACCTTCTAACCACCTCTAACGACATATAATGACCTCCAAAATAAGAAGTTTTTGATCATGGCTTTATGCATATCTGGCTAAAATAGTAAGTAAGGATTAATAAATCCATTGTTTAGGGAATTAATCTAGTCAAAATAGTAGGTAATGATTTACTAATCTCTTGTTTAGAGAATTAATCTAGTTAAAATAGTAGGTAATGATTTACTAATCTCTTGTTTAGAGAATTAATCTAGTTAAAATAGTAAGTAATGATTTACTAATCTCTTGTTTAGAGAATTAATCTAGTTAAAANCGTTGTTTACACAATTTTTGACACTACAATATCTCATTGTTGAAAAATATTAAAATTAACTGTCCACACAATACCGTACAAATAGATGTACTTAGGATTAAACCCACTGTACTCTATGATACCAACTCAGTCATAAGGAAACATTTTTCGACAAAATTCACTGTACAGTATAAACCTAGCCAGGCAAAATTAGGAGAGTTATGCCCGCCCCCTGGTAATGATTTACTAATCTCTTGTTCTGGCTAATGTAGTAACAAAGGATTAACTAATCCGTTGTTTAGGGAATTAATCTGGCTAAACTAGTTGAGCAGTTTATCTGGAGAACAGATATTCCCCTGGATAGACTAGGAGCTACACTAGAGGTCACACTCTTACAATCAATAATAATGCTATTTAAAAATGAAATATTATGAATCTTTTAAAAGTCTTTATCTTCAGACTACGCCTTTAAAAGGACTGTCGTTGTAATTTCAAGTGACTCTTTTTTTTAAAAAAAAGTGGGGCATGTCCGATTTACAACGACGCCATATAATTCTTTATCTGATCTAATGTGGAAGATATCGTCATTTCTTGTTTAATTATCACAATTTACTTCTTACTGCTTCTGAAGCAGAAATACGCACGTCATTTTGTGGAAAGCCAAAATTGAAAATAATTAACTTTCTGAAAGAAGATGGATATATTTAATGAATTCTTTATAAAAAAACCTGTAAAAGGCACAGGTGTGAATCGGACATGTCACTTTATAATCGAATCATATCACTTAAAATTACGTCTTCAGTCCCTTTGAATAATATTTAATTATTGATTTTTCTGAAGATGTTTTGAAACCACAGATATTTTAATTTTATTTTGATGCATTTTTATTTTAGGTTCCAGTTTTGAACCTTGTTGGAATATATTCTCCTTTTATTGACGATACTGTTACATTTAACGGTAGACTGGCACCAAGCAAGGTAATTATGTACACTGTACACTGTACAGTGTACAGTCGTACACTGTACAGTGTACAGTCAACACTCAAGAGGTCAAAAAGTACATATTATTTTGTTTTTATTTGTGTACAAGTTTACGAATGAAACCGAATTTAAATTTATCACTATTTAAACATAATTTTTTATAATAACTGAGAACGTGGTAAATTGATGATTATCTTTATGTTCCCATCGATTAATTTAAACTCCCCCCCCATGTTTTATTTTTGTTGTTTTACAACAATAATCATTTTTGTTTTTGTTATTGGTATTATCAATGCACTTCATTATTTGTTATTGTTATTGATATTTTGTTATTGTTTGTTTTTATCATGGTTATTTATTTTTATTTTTTATCTGTTATTGTTTAGACGAACTGGATTAAGATTCAGGAAGCAGCAATGGTACTAGAAGAGCAGCCAGGAAAGGTGAAAACTTTAGACTAATTAAAAAAATTGTCCATCCCGGATTTTTAGCAAACTATGTAAGCTTAGTCTTCAATCATTCAATGACGGAAAAGGTTTAAAAAATTGCAAACGGCGCCATTTTTCACTCAAAATGTTTTTTTTTTAATCCAAATCTTGCTTACACACTTTTAACCTTCTACCTTCATGGTTTTATCATAAAATTGACCAAATTCCCTTTAATAGTTTAAAGAAATGAGACACAGAAATTGTGCAGGATAAATTGACCAAATTCCCTTTAATAGTTTAAAGAAATGAGACACAGGATGTGCAGGATAAATTGACCCATTTCACTTAGTAAGCGATTTAATAAGTTACTAGTAAAACTATGTTCTTTCTAGCAACATCAAATACACTTAAGAATTTCTAAAATACCGTCTTCATATTTCACAATTTTCTGATACTCACTGTTTACTACTTTTTCATCAATAATAGTTTAAATTCTTAATTTTTCAGGTATCTGAAGCTTTCCGGCTGTTTCTACAGGGACAGGGCTATTGTCTCAAGATCAGGAAAATTGCAGTTCAGTGAGACGGAAAATATTTTCGGCATTCTCTTAACTCCGGGGAGAATTACTTGAACTTGTAGTTTTATCAATCCCCTCTGTAGTAGCATCAAGGGGGTAGTACACTGTACAGTGTTAATGTACTGTTTTGATAATTGTACTCTTCGTACTGTACGTATTTGTGAAACACTTAACACTTCTCTCAAAATATGTACACTGCACACTCTACAATTATGAGCGTACAAACATACAGTCCCCCTCGTTGCTATCGTAGTAACCCAATTTTAGTACTCACTACTCAGCCCTGATCTCACAATTTTTATCAATTTTATCGAATTTAAGCGCAACAAACTTGATGAATTAATGTATTTTATGCTTACTTGGCGTAGAATAGTATAAGCAAGAATTGTATTTTGTGCTCCTAATTTCTACTCTGTACTCTGTATTCGAACCTGTACTCTGTACTTTGTACTTGGTATTTGTGAAAATTATGTATCGGAATTCACGAAACCCCCTTTTTTTAATGGAAAATTTTATTACAAACATAACTATTCTTTTCGAATCTTGTTCGTTTTTTATATTTGTGAATTTACACAAATAATGATGACTCGCGAAGCCGTAATTTATTTGAATCTCGGGAAATCTGCAATCTGAAATAATCTTTTTATGACAAAGTAAATATTTTCTCCTCCCCCCGCCCCCCTTATTTAATAATAATGAATTATTGTTAAACTGACTACTTAGTTCTTATTTTAATTATTATCTTCTGGTTTTTTTGTCCTTTTATAAAACATTGTATTGAGAATATTTGGTTGTATTTGTACATGTGTAAAGTTTCAATTTATAAACGGTACATAACTCATTTTCAGTACAACTACATCAGTACAATTGTAAAAATAAAGTTTATCTAGCTCATTTAAGAATATTTGATGTACTTAAATTTCATAAATGCAAATATAAAATATTGAGAATTCTAAAAATAATTTTTAAACATTGCATTAATGACTTTTAAGTTCACCATAAAGAATTCTATAACCTAGATTTTAAACACTATTGGATGATCTTTAGTTGGATTATTTTACTCTGTTCAGAAAATGCGCGGAGAGTTGGTTCAACTTTTTTTCATCGAAAAAGGGTTTTAAAGGGTCTTTCTATTTTGAAACTAATATGTGGAAGTATACGATTTTAATAAAAAACAAACATTTTAAACTTTTTACTAAAAATAATACGCTTCAATCAACCATGAAGGAACTTCTTTAACACCTAAAATTTTTGACAATTTCTTATTTTCTGCCATTTGTCTAATCTCGAGTAAATATTTTTAACCTAGAAAGGTCAGCCAATAGCGTATAGGTAGGGATTGGCAAGTTTTTTATAAATCGTTTTGAAGTTTTCATTAGCTAGGACTAAACAAATTCTATTGGAGAAATCTTATTCGAAAATATGTTCGTATTTTAAAAGATTAAAGAATCAAAGCAATCTTCAAAACGAATTTAAAAAAAACTAAAACAATGCCCATCTCTACTCGTAGATTTGTAATAGTTTCCGTTTTGTCAGAGTACACTTAGAGCTTGCAGGATGCAATAGGATTAAGATATAATATGTAAACACCTATTTAATAACATTTAACTAGTTGCATGTAATTACTACGACAAATAAAATATTGGAATATTAATATTTTTATCCAACATCTGTACGGTTAGATTCAATAATGGCAAATATTTTAATACAAGACGCGACTTGGCGCCCAACTTCCTTCTCAGGTCTGATAGTTTATCTTAAAATTTCTTCTATTCCTCGGAGTTTAGTCTTTATATTTGTAAATCCCGTAACTGATGAAAATTTAAGGGATAAGTGAGTCCATTCTTCTCCCTGAAATTAATTATCCTAAAAGGTTTTATGAATAGTTCTAAACTTATTATTACGTATTATCGGGTAAAATACTTAAAAGCAATTTTCAATTTATCAAATAATTATCCTCAAATTTGATAGTGCTAATATTGGATATAGAGATCAAGCGTTGAAGACTAAAGATACTCCACACAAGAGTCCAACTTATGAAAATATTCATTGCTTTTTGAAAACTGAAAAATAATTAGTTTTACATTGCTTTTTATAATATAACATCATTGTGTTGATATGACCAGGCCATGGAACAACTAGTTGAACCAACCATGTCCCAGGGGGTGTGCAATGATGAATTTGCGCCCCCTCCCCCTTTTATTTAGATATTTTGTTTGGTATAATCTTATATTGAAAAATTGAGGTGTTAGTATCCAAAGTTTTCTTTTGTTATTATTCCTGTATACTGTATAGTGAGAGAGCCACAAATTACATCACAACTCGCCAGTATTTCTTCCGACCACACCTTTTTTTATTCGGCATTGTTTACAATCTTTTTTAAGTACTTTAAATTATTATATTGTAATTTTGAGTCACGTCATGTTTTTATCCTTTTTTTTTGGTTAAAAGAATAACATCTTTTAAAGGTAACAGTAGGCATAAAACAATTCATGCAAATCTTTGTTTCACAAACCCTCAAGAAAATTAAAACCAATTGTTATGTACCCTACTAAAAAATGTCAATTTTTAGTTGTAGATCCTAAAAGTCCCATCGCACTATTACCTAAAAGTTGCAGTTTAGGATTAAAATAAGAAAACATCATTTCCGGACGAAAAATAGGTGTGGAGTGTGGTACGCACATTTTCTTTCTTTGCTTAATTTTAAATAAATGCATTTAAGATACAATTAAACCATAATGAATAACATATAGTTGCCTAAGTTGAAAAGAAAGCATTTTCTATGCAGGGGGGATCTTCATACCCCCCGTCTCGTTCACTACGTTTTACTCGGTGCTCCTGGGTCCATACTACAATACCCTTCTTTGCACCTCCTTTGGGAAAATTCTGGATATGGCTATAACTCTAGGGGAAGAAGTGATGCACTACGTGACAGTGGTATGTGGGTTCCCATAAGAGAAGTGGTTCAAATAGCTTTAGATTGATCAAGTGAAACGCACACATGGATATGACTTCTAGAGCGTTTCGCGTCCCTCTTACAGTAAGAATTTCCTCAGTATAAGATGCAATGTCTCTAGTGGTAACGAGAGCAGTAAAACAACAAGTTCAATCCATTTCTACTCGACTACACGAGTAAAGTAAGGCAAATACAACTATAGAAAAGAAAGACTGTATATTAAGCAATTTCTAACCGAAACGGCCTTACGGAACCTTTCCTCAAACTGTTATGAATGATAAATCATTGAATTAAGGAACGAACCTTTCTTAATTGAATTTATAATAAATCTACCTCCTATATGCTAATTCTGTTTGTTCCTAACGTGGATTTATAAGAGTATGTAAAAATGTAAACAAACTTACAGGAGATAATCAAACCGCAAGTGAGACCCTATTAAACATTCGGACTTAAATTTTAAAATTGAATCGGGAATTAATTAAATTAAATAATGATGTCAAATCAATAAGAATAAAAACTTCAAATAATCCTCTAAAAAGATGAAGATATTTCTAGTGTACTCCCAAGGCCAAAAAGACTGGGCGGGGGAGAGCGGAGGCCGTAGAATAGAGGCTGTACTGTGAACAGGAGCCTAGGGTTGGAACCTCAGTTAATAGCAGTCATAGCTGTTCACAACGGTGATGGAAGAAGATAAACTATTTTTTCATTTTTTAAACGTTTTTATAAAATATTTCGGTTTTTTTAGGACGCTTCGTGTTCGTGATATTATTTTGTATTGTATCTATTAAATAATCCCACATTGTTACTACAATTCGACAAATATTAGATTTCCCAGATTTTTATGTTTTGATTGGAGGATTTCTAAACATTTATAATAAGCTATTTTTGAAGGGAATTATTTTTGCTCTGACTGTTCGTAAACCCTTTTGGATCAAATACGGTGTCAAAAAAATTTGGTATGACCATTTTTACGTTCATTGGACACATACAAACAGTACGTATAGACAAGGCAACATACGTTATAGATCATCGGGAAAAATGTAATAAGAAAATATATTTTTACACAATATTTAACTTTGGTAATCAAATGATTGTAACGAGTGGATTGACCCTAGGAAGAACAATATATATTTTAAATTTTAAATTTTATTTTTGTGCTTATGGAGTACTAAATTCAATGCAAATCTATAATTGGTAAATCATAACAGTCTTCAGTCTTAATAGCGTAGGGTAGGATGAGACTTCAAAAATGTGTGTACAGTTTTTATAACATAACTATATACGGTACCCTTGAAACCTCATCAATAATGTGGAAGACATTGTCGTTTCTCGAGATTTAAAAGTGTATAATTCTAATAATTTCTATATGTTTTCCACAATAGAAAATAATCAGTTTTTAGAATTACAAACATGATTATCTAATATCTATACAGACAAAGCTTTTAAAGGGACTGTAAGCGTAAATTCAAGTGACCCTCTTTGCAAAGCTGGCAATGCCTGATTCACAATGGTACTCGAGAGCAACTGATATATATATTTAAAACTGATATTTTCTATGTACAATTAGACCCACAAAAGTGTTGAAAAGGAAGACGATTGTTAGTCTCAAGTCATGATTTTTTTAAATCAACTAGAAATTCAAGGCGCTTCGCGCCCTTCTTTCTAGGCTTTTAGGGCGCTTCGCGCCCATCTTCTATTTAAATTGTGAACATGTTCTTTTGTTTACATTTTAAAACAAAGAAGAAAAAAATTTTGCGAATTTTTAAAAAAATTCGCGGATTTTCAAGAAATTAAATTTTTACAAAATTAATATCCTTTAAAACACATTTTTAAAAAAATTTGTATCATTCATAAACCTTCNTAATAATAATAATAATAATAATAATAATAATAATAATAATAATAATAATAATAATAATAATAATAATAATAATAATAATAATAATAATAATAATAATAATAATAATAATAATAATAATAATAATAATAATAATAATAATAATAATAATAATAATAATAATAATAATAATAATAATAATAATAATAATAATAATAATAATAATAATAATAATAATAATAATAATAATAATAATAATAATAATAATAATAATAATAATAATAATAATAATAATAATAATAATAATAATAATAATAATAATAATAATAATAATAATAATAATAATAATAATAATAATAATAATAATAATAATAATAATAATAATAATAATAATAATAATAATAATAATAATAATAATAATAATAATAATAATAATAATAATAATAATAATAATGGTATTAATATATTTCAGTGACTCAAACGCTGAAGTTTAACAGATCTCAGTTCCTGGATTTATCTGACCCATGTTCAAGAACAGGGGTTTACCATACTATTCTCAACAGGAACACTTTTCCCGTTTCATTTTCTTAATCTATCTTAAATTCTTATTTTCTCTTGTTTTAATTCTAGATAACATCGTTATCTGTACGAACTTTTTTATTTAGAATACATCCGCCAAAAAAACTAGCAAAAAGAGAAAACGCGAAAAATGTGACCGAAAGTCACAGCTTTCTGTGACAATGACCGAATCTACGTAGATGATTGTAAATAAGAAGGGTAACTTGAAATTACGATTACAGTCCTTATACGATAATAAGTTTCATAATGCGGTCTAGTTATAACATTTATGAAAGCAAAATTCTTGAAAATGAATTGTGTTTTCAGAACGAATCCAGTTGCTCTGCTAAAACTAGATATTAGGTATAATAATTTTTTTTCGTAATTTTTTTCATAACGCAATTATAGAAGTTTTAAATTTGGATTCGATGATCTTATAAAGTGATTTTTAACCAATCTTATCGCTCAAAAATGCTCTTTCTCAGAAAATCCGGTTTCTTGTAAGTTTTGTTGATTCCATAAATAATCTAGCCATCACAGACATTTTAAGCGATGATCTTGGTTAATCTTATTCCCAAACTTGTTTTTTTGTAATTTTAATATGTTAAGTTGTTGGCTATACCTTTAAGGAATATATGAGAACCTATTGAAGTGGACATAAAAAATAATGAGAGTCCCACATAGATATATAACAGATAAATAATAAAAAGTATTTATATAATAAGTTGCATCAATTTCAAGGCTGAGTCGATTTCTTGGTTTTTTTTACCTCACTAACTCACTTATGATTTATTTTAGAACTTTTTAGTGAAATTAATAAGATAATTATATTTTAGTGAAGTTAATATATAGATAATTATATTTTCTCTAAACATGTTTTTCTAATTAGGTACAAAACCCTTGTAACCTACCAGACCTTCAACTGCCTGATCAAAGTGAGGACGGAGTTCATGAACAAGTCCAAGGAGTTCTACAACGACAACGAGGATATCGCTGTCATGATGTTTGATATCAACTACGGATATAAGAGGTAATACTTACTTACATTGGGACCCAAAAAAATTGTAGAATAAGAAAGACGACTATTAAAGTCAAATTTTTATTTAAGAGCTTAATGAAAATTGTCCAGTATATGCATTCTGCATAGAAGTTGTAGAACAAGTCATAATTGTAATAAATAGTACCCTTAAACAAGTTTAAGCATCATCCCCCCCCCACACACTTCCCGTAATACACCCAAGTTCAGGGGGAAGTGTGGGCTGAGGCTCCTCCCCTGAATAAATTCCAAAAATGCAAAACTTCTTTATTTTTTAAATTAATGATAAAAACACTTTAAGCTTTAAAAGGTGAAAATTTAACTTTAGGGGGGGGGGCAGTTCCCCTTGCCTCCATCTGTACACGCCTCTTATTCGGCAGAATCGATGTTTGGTTGTTTCTCTCTCTTTACTCCCGAAATTTAAAATGTATCTGTATCCCCTAGAGTTCCATTAAATTAAATTTCTTCTAGATTTCATTAAACCCGATTTTATTAAATGTTCGTGGCTCCAAACAATTTGTTTATCCAGAATTAGAAAACAAAGGTTTTAAGGTTTAAATCCAAAATTAAAACTCCCATAACTCCCCCCCCCCCCCCCCCCCCCCTCCTCCACTTTTATGAACTTTCATCCACTGCACTGCTTCCCTTTTATTCTTAATAAGATTCACTATAAAATTCATTTGAAAAAAGATCCCATAAACTTCATATTTGAAATTGCAACTTTTGTGAATTAAAAAATACACACTTTTCCCATCTATTGCACTTTTTCAAAATTTCAACGGTAAACCCTTAAAATCTGAAGTTATTTCGTCTTCTTACTCATTATTTAACCCTTTATAATACAGTATTTTGATCAACATTACCGAGCCATGATTCACCCTTAAGCGGTATGGTAAGTCACTCAATTGTCCCTTAGGAAAATGAAGTAAAATAATAACATGCGAGGAGAAAGAGTTATAAGGGAACTCTTAAGGGGATTATGAAGGGAAATCATGGGAATGGAATGGAAAATAGAGAAATATAAATAGGGCGGACAGGAAATAAGAAAGGAAAGATAGGGAATGGTATGTGGAGGGAAAGAAAGGGAAAGGAGAGGAAGCGTAAGGGAAATGTTAAGGTAAAGAAGGGGGTAAGGAAAGAAAAGGGAAAAGGATGGGGGGGGGGTCTCTATGCATTAGGTAAATTAAATGTTCCTCTCTGATCTCTCTCTTCCTTTATCTTTACACTGAGCTTGAATACTAAACATATCCTACAAACTAATGTTTCCATTTAACGTTTCTGCCGTTTCCACAAATTAAAAAAACTTTTTTGAATTTCTGTTTAGAAAGATTTACTTGAACATCTCTTGAAAATTTGATTTAATTTGAAAGAAAGAAAGTTCCCATTCAAATATAATTCAGAATTAAGATATTCACATTCTTTAAGAAACATTAAAATTAAATTTGTTCGTTTTCCAGAGGGGGGGGGGAGGCTCAGTCCACATTGACATATCCCCCTTTGGTCAATCTGTTATAAGTAAAGACGAATCTTTTTCACTTGTAAAATTAGATTTAATAGTTATTTTACCTTTTTCTTACATTTGGCCGTGAAAGCAATTTTCCCCATAAATATGTTATTTACATAAAAACCGTGATTTTATTGCTTTACAGAGAAACTTCAATCTGTATTGAACGATGTGAACAAAAACTCAAGCATAAAATATGAAAGTTTTATAAACTTTTTCACAAAAATGCGCAATTGTTTCAGGAGGTTGCAATATGAACATATTATTCTTGTTTAGGAAGGAGGATGCAATAAAACTAGATCTGATTCATATTGCTAAACTGGATAATAATGGAACAAGATTTTTTTATCAAAAAAAGAAATTCCAACTTCCGCAGTACGTTCCGCATTCATTGCCAGGTACCGAATTTATTCATCTATTCATCTATTCATTGAAGGAAGGATGGCTTACTACACTATTTCTACTTCCGAGCCTATTTCTCCTAATTGTTTCTTCCGAGCCACCTCAAAGTACTCATCCTTTACCTTTTTTAAATCCGGCCAAGTAAGACCATGCCCATAAAAATTTCTTATTTAAAAAAATTAAAAATGATATAATACAAAATTTTTGCATTTTTACTTCTCTTCGTTAAAAAAATCGTTGTTTTCGATGAAATTACTTGAAAAATCCGTTTACTGAAAATATTTTGTGGAATAACTTATTGATTCAAGCTGTAGGAGTTACAGTATGAAGTAAACAAAAAATGAAAATTGCAAGTATGAACATTTGAACGTGGGACGTAAAAGACTTCTAGTTTAATGTGGTTCGGATGCATAAATGATGTGGCTTACTAAATTCCCATCATTCATCTTTCTTTTCATCCTTAATTATCCTTTTAATCAATCTTTAACTCAATTATGTAATTAACAAGTTCTTGAAAATGAAAAACCTTTCATTCATTTCTGACCATGACTTTGTATATTTTGTGTAAAAACTATTAAGTATGCGGTGAAAATTATAAGGGTCAAAATGAATTGAAATATAAAAGTTTTATTCTTGAATTCCGTTTAATTTTAATTAAAAATTAAGAATTGTATAGCATTGAATAGTATTAAAATGTTTAAAGATATTCTAGTAAATTGTATTGATACGGTTAAGGTTATGTAGTGAACTGCACTTTAGTGTTTATGATAAGGTTATGTGCTGTATTGTTTATGATAAGGTTATGTACTGCACTTCACTGTTTATGTTAAGGTTATGTTCTTTACTGTGTTCATATTAAGTTCATGTACTGTACTGCACTGTTTATGTTAAGGTAATGAACTGTACTGCACTGCTTATGTTAAGGTTATGTACTTTACGGATTTGAGGAGATTGCCCAATGGCACGCTGAAAGTAACTCTAGTCTGGCGGTCGACCTACAGCGCTGGAAATCCAGTGATTCAATCTACTTCGTGTTTGCACAGTACCGTATAGTTTCACCATACCACTGTGATACAGGGATAGAGGTAAAATAAATTAGAAAAATCTTATTCACAACTCTCTACTAAAATCGATATATTTCTGAAATGACTCTCAACTTTTATGCACAGTAAGTAATTTTCAAGCATTAAAAACGTAGAGAAAGTTTGGGTTTAAAGCTAGCTTTAAAAGTATGCTTTGAACTTAAAAATCAGACAACTTTTATCCTACTAAATCTATTAGATATTCAAGTCGTCTTCTTCACGATATTTAACCATCCATTCTAAATACATCCAATCACGACCCTCTTAACAAGTGTCCGGTTATTGTGTCAGAGTTTTCTTGGGTGTTCAGGGGATTATATACTTGGTGTTCAAGGGATTATATACTTGGTGTTCAGGGGATTATATACTTGGTGTTCAGGGGATTATATACTTGGTGTTCAAGGGATTATATATTTGGTGCTTAAGGGATTATATATTTGGAGTTTAAGGGATTATTACTTTTTCGTGTTTAGGGGATTATCTAATGGGTGTTCAGGGGATTATATATTTGGTGTTCAGGGGATTATTTATTTGGTGTTCTGGGGATCATCTATATTGTGTTCAGGGTATTATTACTTATTTGGTGTTCAGAGGATACTATTGGGTGTTCAGAGGATTACTAATTTGGTGTTCAGGGGATTATCTATTTTGTGTTCAGGGGATTATTCATTTTATGTTCAGGGGATTATCTATTTGGAGTTCAGGGAATTATCTATTTGGTTTTCAGGGGATTATTAATTTGGTGTTCAGAGTATTATCTATTTCATATTTGGGGTTCAGGGGATAATTTATTTGGTATCAAGGGGCTTATTTATTTGGTGTTCAGGGGATTATTTATTTGATGTTCTGGGGATTATCTATTTGGAGTTTAGGGGATTATTTTATTTTTGGTGTTCAGGGAATTAACTATGGGGTGTTCATGGGGTTATCTATTCAAGGGATAATGTTATTGGTGTTTCGGGGATTATTTATTTGGTCTTCAGGGGATTGTCTATTTGGGGTTCAGGGGATAATTTATTTTGAGTTCAGGGGATTATCTATTTGGTGTTTAGGAGGTGGGGGGGGTGCAATTTGTAGAAGCTGGGATATGAAAAGAAAAGGTTCTCGACAATGGGTTGTAAAGATATTGAAGAACAAGGGTACCTTAACCATTACACCTTTATCTGAGAAACAATGCCGAAGATATCTTTTCTTAAATCTGTCAACTTTCTTCTTCGTCTTTGGTGCATAAACCACAATTAAAAAATTGTTAATTTTTTGTAAAAAAATATTTTCGTCGTTTTGTTTAGAATTGCCTATGGAGAATGCAAAGTAAATGATAAAAAACGAATCGACACGCATTATTATTACAGAATTTGCTTATGTATATTCTCGTTATAAAGAACTCCTTTTTCATGAATTTCAGAACTTTTTGCAACTTTGATTTACAATTTTCATTATAAGTTTAAATTACTAAAAGTTTCATAGTCTGTAATTCCAGCACTTGAACCCCCTTCTCAAATCTAACGGAACTGAGTACTCGCCACAAACTCTAATCCTTTAAACAATCTTAATATCTTTGCACCCTGATGGTTTAATCATCGAATGTTTTAAACTTAGACTTTTTTATCTTACATAATTCATATTTTAAAACGTGAAAGGTCTACGATATCAGGTTGCACTGATATAGGGAATAGAAAATTCGAATTCGAATCAACCAAAAGGTACGGCTCCGCCTTAACAGGGGTTTTTGACGAAAACGAAAGAGGTCAAATAAAATTCTCTTATTAAAAATAGAAATCTAAACATTAAGAGCAATTCATTATTTTAGTATTGTTATTTTTCACAAGACACAATATAGCGATACGAGAGCTAGAGCCTCTCGTTCCTTCTAAATCTTTCTTTTTCAAGTTTAGATTTAAGTCTGCGCAAATATATATAATTAATGGTAAAATCTTCAGATTATTCAATTAATCAACAAGACAGGGAAAATATCAAACTAAATCAGGGATCTTAGGCGCAGTTTGTGTGAGGGGACGGGGGGAGGGGGGGAGTTATTTAGCCCCTTTCTCCTATGGGTTGTAAAAAAGCAATGTGACCAACAATTATCTTCATTCTACATATTCATTCTCTCTCGATAGTTTCAAAATGTTTATATTTCAAGACCAACATACATTTTTGGGATCATCCAATTGTTTCTCAGTTTTTAATTTAAATTGGTTTCATTATTCACGATTTCAACATTTCCGAACTGAGCGTTTCAAGACTAATTATTTTTGTCGTATTTTGACGATCACCAAACTCGCTTGCATTAATGCATATTTCAGGTTAACTTTATAACCCTGTTAGGCTGTTATTAATGTAATACAGTTCAACTTGTGAAATAAATGTCCTTTTTGATCTCTGATTAGAATAAAAAGTTCTCTGTTAACAAAGTTTTTATTCTTGCATTTTCGTGCATCCTTCAATACTTAAACAGGCCACGTAAATAATAGATTGGATAGAAGTGAATTGTTTGATTTTGTTAAACTTTGTTAAGTTTAGGAAGGTCGATTATTATTTTTCTATCCAAATTAAAATTCACAGTTATCTTTACTCATCATTACAAGTTTTTTATAGAATTTTATTCAAGACTTGAGACAAGCAATTTTCATTTTCCCTGAAAGCTTAGAAATTTTCATCCCCCCCCCCCCTTCAGGAAAATATGATTTACAATACATGATATTCCTGGAAAAAGATTCTGTAAAAATAAATATAAAAATACCTGGACGAAGACATCATTAGTTACAGAAAAGAAAGGCTATATAAACAGGATATTTAACCTATTTTCACATTTTCACATAATGGAAAAAGAATTGATATGAAAAACTTTTCTCAAGCTATTATTTTTCATATTTGGAACCTTATGATGTATAAACCTTTGATATTTCAAGCAGTGACTATTATTCGAAGTGAGAAAAATCTATAATCTATGACATCAGGTTGCAAAGATATATAGTTTAGAAAATAAGAGTTTGATGTAGTTGATAAGATTCTGTAATTACTTAAAAGATTTGCCTGATCAAGAATGCATGAGATGTCCATCATCTGCTCGGTAAAAATTGATCATTTTTAATTGTGGTCTTTCTATAAAGTGACTTATACATCTTTGCCTTAGTAACAGTGGAGAAAATTGTCAATCTAGAAAAACGACAATATTTTCAACTTAAATGATAAAATAAAGCTTTAAAGACAACCGTTGTTAATCGTGCATGCCCCTCTTTTTGAATGAAAGGTAATTTGAAAATTACGTCCACTGTCCCTTTAATTGAATTATTTCTTGTCTAGGTTGACTGCAATGATAATGCAGCTGTATTTGCACACTGCTTCCCTCACCACCTTCTCTCCCTCTTCCTAGATGGACTTCCGTTCTGTGAGTTCCATCCCCTTCATGCTATCGGTTCCAACAGGTATATTATATAAATGTATAAATGTACATAATATACAAGAAATAGAAACTAAACTTTCAGGAAAATATTTTCAAAGAAATTGACATTGGCCACAAAGTCAAAATTCGAATCCCCCATATTTTTGAAACATGACGAGGTAAACCTTTGAGATTTTGAACCAGACTAAAAAAATCTAATTGAATTTTAAGATTAAAATATAAAAGGTACTCGACAATGGGTTGTAAAGATATTGAGATTAGAAAATAAGAGTTTGTGGCAAGATATCAGTTAATTTGAGGGATATTTGCTTTTACAGTCCCATATGAATGATTTACAACCTTATTTAAGCATTAATGGATTTAAAATGAATTGCTTTTTTCTGAAAAATTCTGCACCGCTTCGTTTCTAAACGAAACTGGCTAAAAAAAATTAAATTCCTGCTTGAGGATTTTCAATATTTTTACTTAAATGAAGGGTTTATCTGGGTACTTGCGTAAATCATCGATGGCAGATTTTGAATATAGATTTTACGTTGATAATCACTTTTAGAAGTTTTCTTCTGGTGTTTCTGTGTTATATACAGTCCAATAGCTCCAAAGATCTAACTGCATTGAGTAAAAAATTTTCTAGAAATTAAAAATAGACCAATTGTACTTAACAGTGTGCAGTTTTCAAAAATGCAACCCTTTTTGACAATCTTTGACAATATCTGTTTTTTATATTTCTCAAAAACAAATGATAATAATTAATGCCTTTTAAACATATTTTATAAATGAAATAATAAACATTTTTATTTAATAGAAAGAAAAAACAAATGTGAGTAGGGATTTAATTTTTAATACATATCTTGTGATGCACTAGGGGCTTATACAGGATTTATTCTTAAACATATAAATGTGGGTTATGGTTTGAAAAAAATATATTTTTGGGGTTTTTAAAGGAGAATAAATGGGAGAGGGGGTGCTATGTCACTTTTTTTCAAAGTCTGTTTACCCCCTTAAAATGCACATGGAGAACATGTTAATTCAGTCAAAAGTTTTAACAGGAATAGGAACTATTTTTACTCTTGATAAATTGTGCACTTATTTTGCAAGACATGCACTTAAATTTAGTTTAAGAGATTATAGACACATATTTTAAAATACAAATAATTTCCCAGTTTTAGGAATTTTATGTATAAGGGTGATATTTTGGACGTTTCAGCACTTTTTAAACTTAAAGCACTGCAATTTGTATAATCCAACCCAAAAACAATTGGAGTTTGGTTTGATGAAGATTTAGGGATTAAAAACATAACTAAACCATAACGTTTTTAGAACAACTTGTGGTGCAACGCATCTGGGAGGATCAGGAAGTACAAATACATTTCTCCTTCTTCTCACAACTCTCATAACACTCATAATTCCCGCCATCTTGGCAACAAAACCCTAGGAAGAATTATTATGCAGGAATCACCTTCATACGTCATGCTGCTATAGCTACTAGCAAAGGAATATTACATAAGAAAATTTTCGGGGAGTCTTCTCAATACAAAATCTGAAAATGCGCAAAATATTGTACGCTCACAAATTGTCTCCGAAAAGAAAGTTTTGCAGCATTCGATCTTCCACAACAGAATAAAAGCTGTGCGCAACAGCTCATGCTTGCTGACGCTCACAACTAACGTGCAGTGCTAGTTAAATGATATGAAAATAATGTGAATTAAAATATCATTTTCAAAATTATTCAGAAAGTAGTTTACATAAAGTAGATATTTTATAATTGTTAATTAAATTTACCCTTTATCTAGAGTTTTATTGAATGTATAATAAAAATAAAAGATTTAAATAACAGCAACCTAAAGTTTTATCTTAAAGGAATTGAGTTTTTGCCACAAACTCAAGTTATCTAAAACCTATATCTAAGCAACTAGATGGTATACACCTTTAATATTTCAAACTTATATTGTTTTATTAAACAGCATTCATAGTTTGAAATATCAAACGTATACGACATTGGGTTCAACAGATATTGAAATTAGAAAATCAGAGTTTGTGGCAAAGACTCAATTCCTTTACAAATTAAAGTAAATAATGTTTTAGAATTTATATAATGTTAAATCCTTTAAAGTGTAAGAATTTTTCTGTCATGCATAAGAAAACAAAAAAATATATAAAACACTAAGGGGCTTCGAAAAAAAAATATTTTAGTGGATTTTTATAAATTAAAAGTTTTGATTGAATACAAATGACGACTATTATGACTACTTGCGTTACAATTCCTAAAATTATTTAGATAAAGAATGTTTAAGGAACAGTATCTATTGATTAAAAAGTATTACACATACACCAGAAATTGGAAAAACAAGAAAGTTATATTGAGACATTTTAACTCAATTATTTGAAATTTATTTTAATTATCCTAAATAAATCAATTCTTTTGTATGATGAAGAATTTTAAAGTTTTATTTAATTTTCACTGTTTACACATTTTTCTGTAGAACATTTGAATATTGGCACAAATTGGCTGTTACTAACTATTTTTGATAGAAATTAGTTATTTTTAAAATTCAAAATTATATTCAACAAATGTAAATTTTATTTTAATTCCTAAATTTACTTTTTCTTAAAAAGAATTTATAAAAAGAGCTAAATTTTCTCCTAAAAAATTTAAGTTTTTTTGTCTGCACATAATATACAATCTTTAAAAAAAAATATGAATACCAGTAACCTATTGTACCAAACAGAAAATATATAAAATGTTATGAAAGTATGATGCATGTTTATTATATAGAAAAAAAACTATTATAAATTAATTTGTTGTTGACTAATAGGAGTATATTTAGCTAGTTTTAACTCTACTGCCACAAAAACAAATCCAAAAACTGCCTTAAGGGCATTTTTAAGATCATGATTTTCCAGCTTAGAATTTCCTCCCTATTAGCAAGTTTTAATGGTTTAAAGGGACTCTTGAGGTAATTCCATGATATCATTCATTTAAAGAGTTAAGTACCCGATTCCCTTAAAACCTTTATTTGAGTATTAAGGAAGATATCGTCGTTTTCCTAAACTTGAACTGAGATAATCATTTTTACTCAAATAATGGTTTAAAAGGTATTGTTGTGAATTGGGTATTTACATCTTAAACTTCAGGGTCACTAGAAATAACAGTGTAGTCTCTTTAAAATAAACAGAACCTTAAGAAGTTTGAAAGTTTGAAGTAAGGAACAATTTACATAAATGCAAACCTTAAGTTTGATAAATATCAAGCTTTTGATATTTCAAAATTTAATATTGATAGATTGATTGTTAGATTTAAAGTTTGTCCCTGTTTCTCTATTTCCGTGATTTCTGTTTCTATGGATGTTTCATTAATCATTTAATTCAATTCTAGGCTGATTTTAAAATACATCCAATGTGGATAGAATAGTGAACGTACAAAGTATGTACTCTGTACACTATGTATACTTAAATTAATCTAGTTCATGTTGTACATTGTACATTTATAGTTTAAATTGTTCTACTAAATATAAATTAAAAATTATTTTGTGGTTAGATAAGATAAGATAAGATAAGATAAGATAAGATAAGATAAGATAAGATAAGATAAGATAAGATAAAGTTTATTGCTGAGAGTATTTATTTAATTTATTTATTTCGTAAACGTACACAATTTAAATAATTGGTACAATTAAACAGAAGAAAAAAGAACTATAAGAGAATATATCAAAAATGAATACAAATACAAGAAACAAAATCATACTGTAATTAAGTCGTGAATATAAAATTAATAATATCATCAAGCTTAGCTTGGTCAACTCCATTGATAACAATCTTATTGTTTTTTGCAGAAATTAGTTCATTTAAAAATGGAATCCTCCATTCTTCTTCCAAGGGTATTTCTTGAAATATCATACAATTTTTTACAATACGTTTGTCAATAATATTCAAATCTTTGTTGCATTTGTCTGCAATATTTCTCAGATTTTTTGCAGTTACTGACCTTTGATCGAATTTTAAAAGATTTATCAAAAGTCTGATACAAATTTTTGAAGAATTTTCTAATGAAGAAATGAATGAAACAAATCTACTGCAGAGCATGGTCATTAAATGAGATGAATGTGACAATGGTTCGATAAAATATCTATGACAAGTGTTTGGTAATTTAAACACAATTCTAACTGCAGTGTTCCAAGACGAATAAATTCTAAACACATCATTCGAAAATAAATTCCATAAATTGGATTCATAAATACTTGTTACATTAAGGTTATATAATTTAATCAAAACTGTCGAATCTGCTAAGTAAAATTCTTGTTTCAGGGAATGAATTTTAGCAATAAACTGTCCACGTTTCTGATTTATATCACGAGTAAATGAATTATCTGTTTGTAGCGTGCATCCAAGATGTTTTACATGATCAACATATGGTAATGGTAAATCATTAAGATAAATGGGCAAAATGTTTACATTATCGATTGGATATTTTGTAAAGATTATTCACTTGGTCTTGGACTTTTCAACTACATTGTTAGTACTAAATTTCATTGAAAATAAGTTTGCAAATTGTTCACATATCTTCACCATATTTTGTAAACCGTTTCTACTAGGAGCAAGCAATATAATGTCGTCTGCGTATATAAATATGCCCATGAAAACTCCTCCATGGAGGAGTTTTCATGCAAGTTGACATCCACTGCCATAAAATCTTTATCTTGATATCAATTTGTTCATGTATATACAAAATAGGATAGGAGAGGAAACTGCTCCTTGTTTCACACCGTTGTAAACTTTAAAAAGTCTAGATACACTATTGTTCCATTGTACCTGGTATGTTTGTCCTCTGTATATATATAATAATGTTCTCAGAACAGCTGGGGATACTTCTCTATCTTCAAGTTCCTTGAATAACTGTATCCAGGAAACAACATCAAAGGCTTTGGATAAATCCATTGAACAAGCAAAAACATGTCTTCCAGCTCGGTTATAATAATCTATAACTGACGTTATTGCCCAGGAACACATATTCGTTCCAGTTCCTTTCTGAAAACCAAACAGCTTAGTTACATGGTTTATCAATAAATCAGATGAATTCTGAATGCAATCTGATGTAAAATCAAATACATTATCACTTTTTCCAGGTTTTAAGTTTAAAAGTGCTTTTTACATCTGTTGTTGTAATCCTTGTCACATCTAAAATATGTTCTTCCGTTATTTTCTCACTAATATTTCTTTCTAAAGAATCTAATTCCGCAGTTTTATTTTCATGTCTTGAGTAAAGCTCTTGATAAATATTTGCAACAGTTTTTGAAATATTTTCCGACCCTGTAACTCAATCCACACAATTACTGGTTACCTTGACATTTCCTCTATTCTTCTTTATTTCCGCAAAAATATCTTGTCCTCCATCTAATACTCCATTCAGAAATTTATCGTTCTGTATACCTTCCATTCCTCTTTTCAAACGTCTTACTGCATATTTATACTGCATTTTAAATCTTTTCGTGCGGTATCATATAATTCACCATTGCTTGGAGCTCCTGCAGCCCTCCATAAACCATACCAAAACTTACTTCCTTCCTGATAAGGCGCACATACTCATTCCATCCTGGCACAGTTCTTTTTCTATTTTGTCTATGATTGTTTGTCCACGGTAAACACTCCTTAGCTGCAAGCTCTATGGATTCACAAATTTTCATAGAATAATCTTCAATCTCAACAGAATGTAAACTGCAATGAATTGATTTACAATTTTCACAGTTCACGGGAATGTTAATTTCTTGAAGTTTGATATCTAGATAGTTTTTAAACTCACTTTTTTCAGCTTCATTTGCTTTTCTCCAACTTGGTTTTGAACAAGGTATCTCACTTATAAAACTACGATTAAGATTGTCTACATTGAATTTACAGAATATTGGATGATTGTTTGAAGTATTGTTAGGACAATTCACTTTACCAGCCTCTGTTATAGAATTATAAAAGGTTGAATATTCTGATTGATATGAGCTTGGTTCCATATTACTTGATAATTTAGATTGTTCACAAAACCTGTTTACTATATGTTTGCATATTATAGCAACTAGGTGGACATTAGCTTTATGCTGTTTTGGGTATTATCCCGACCTATTAATATTAAAACGTTCACAATATGATGAATATTACCAGGTTTTAAAAGTTTAAAATAAGTCAGAGATTACCCGCTAAATTTAGAGAGACCTAGGTGCAGCATAACAAAATAATATATTTTTCAGTTTTAAATTTTAGTACGTAAAAAAGAAAAATGTACCAAAATCTACCACTATTTATATTTATTTGTTGCAAGAAAAACAAGAGAGTTTATTGCACTTGAGATGCAGGCGTCAGATAACATTTCTAATAATTTTTTTTAATTATGCCTAACGAGGCACTTCTTTTTAAATCAAGTGGCAGGTTATTCCATTTTTAAGCATTCCATTTGTTTATATATATATATATTAGTTGAAACGCAACAATCTTCTTATAACATTTTATTCATAAACAACTTGTTTCATGCTTTTTATGCAATCATAAAATGTCGTCATCCAACTATGAGTTTGGCCCACTTTAGTATTTAATCACTTTGAATATAGGATAATATCTAAAAGTGAAATTTCTGTGGATAACTAAAAGATTACCGATTTTACCGAAAGACAATGGGTACAATCCATCAAATCATTACTCACTCTAAACGAAAGGAAACGTTCAACTTTCTGCAAAATTGCTGGTACAACTTTGTGACCTCTTTCTTGATTTCAGCCTAAATATGAAAAAGGGAAATTCATTTGGTTGCATATTAGGGTATTTCCTTAATTTTTTACGTGATGTGCAGAGCTATAATAT